GGGCTCTGTGTCTAGTAAAGAGATATCAAAGTAGCACAGTATTGATCCCTGGGAACAAGAATCAATATGAAACCATTGCTCCTTAGTATTTGTTTCTCTGCTGCCTGCCTTTCACTGAAATGGGTAATCATTGCAACTAAAGTGATGGCTGCAGATGGATGTGCTCCTGCATGTATATATCTTCTACAATACGTGCATGCATGGACACAAATCCGGCCAAAGTTAATGCTTGTATAGACACTAATGTATATGAGACCGTGCCATGGTGAGCGTGTGCTTGGTTGTTGCAGCAGCTGCTGACATGTCCTGCAAGCGCGACAAGAAGCAAGCAACTCCCCAGGCCCTGCATGCTGACTGAGGCTTGTCAGGAAAAAGCACAATTGGTGACTGTCCAGATTTAAAACAGCTCTTCACTTTTAAATTTCCCTCCCCAAATATATGTTATTCACCATTTTATTCTACTTCATTTATTATTATGAGGTCTTGCACAACTATCTTGGACTTTTCTCCGTGTTACTACGTTTAGACCAACTCAAAGTAGTGCATGGTGTTGATGTGGGGAGAAAAGGATACATTTTTTAAAAATTTTCTGTATTCTGTATTCTTCTTTTGGATTTTCTAGGAGGAAACCTGTGATGCCTTCACAGAATGACTTCAATCAAACAAGCGGGAGTCCCTATCAAATTGATCATTTCTGATGATTGGTTGGGATAGATTTTAATAAGCAAAACTAGTGGAAGGAGGGATACATATAATAAATATGGATTGCACTTTTTAAAGATTTTTCTTTGCAAAGAAATTTAGAAAATCACCTTTATTCTCATCTTGTAAAAAAAAAAACTTGTCATAAAATACATTGAAATTTGAGGGTTTTATTTAAAAATATGGGAAAACCTCAGAGGGTGGCATAGCATTGTCCATTATTTTCTTTTTTACTACAACCATTTTAGTCCAACTTTTTGTGTAATCGGTCCTCTTTATTTTACAAATATAAAACTAATATTCCTGCAGAAAAGGAAGGTATCCCTAACCTGGGTTCCTATAAGCTATGAGCTGTGATTTCTCATTCTACCAAATCACTGTAAGATCCATATCTACCTAATCTGGGGAAGCATCAGATTTTTCTCACACATATCTGAAAAATTACAGAAATCCATGGCTCCCGTCTCCTCATGAGGTGGGTGTTGGCTGTGTCCCTGGACCTGGCAGCGCTTTGACCAAAAGCCTGAGAGGAAGCGAAGGAAAAATCAACAGCTGCTCGTCTGTTTGTTGTGCCTAACAGCTACAACACCTGCAAGCCCTCCTGCCAAGTGCCTCAGCCTGTGTTTAGCATTGGACTTATCCATCCTATTGTATATTTACAATTTGCCTTTGCCTTGTGTCCATGTTCTGTGAAAGCCCAGCTTTGATATTTGGCTCTTTTGTAGATTACACTGCACATTGTGATCACGGTTGGCATTTTTGTGTGCCTGATTCACCATTAAATTGCATCCAGCAGAGATCTGCAAATGCACTGAATACAGAGTCAGTATTTGTCACAAACATTTTGGGCGTTTTCCCCAGTTCTTTCCCTCTTTGATTACTCAAGCTGACACCATATGGGCGGATGTAGAATTATTTCTCTTCTTTATATTTTTGAATAATTAAATCCAGATTGTGGATTAAAGGTTTAAATGCAGCTCTTTGAATGGAGAAAACTCCAGAAATGTGTGCGCACACACACGCACCCTGCCATCCCTCCCCACCTACCACAAATCAATCATGCCTTTAAAAAAATATCCATATTCCTAAACTTTATGGAAATCTGTGTCAAAACACCCCTGTGCATTTTTTCAGAGTTTTATGCAATGGACAAAAACAGAGATTTGCAAAACCCGAAGCACACGATGCCGCCACCACCGGGGAGTCGCAGCACTGAAACAAAAAGCTACAAACTGCAATGGACAGGGACAGCAAAAGACAAAACTGAAGAAAAGGCCACAACAACACCACAGAAAGCATTACAAGACAAAATACCTCCCAAAATGTCCCAAACACCCACACCAGAAAAACAAAAGCAGACCCAAAACAGAAAAGAGCAAAGACAATACTTCACTAGACACAGAAGGGCACAGAATCAAGCTTTAATCCTTTTCCCTGAGACAAACTGCAAATAGGGTAACTTCTGTAGGCAGTTGTTTGTTCTGGATATTGTTTAGTAAAATCAAAGTGAAACACGTTCCTCACTTTCTAAGATTTCTATGTGAAAAGACAATAAAAAAAAACATATCTTGGTTTCCCTCGTATTTCACAAATATGAGGTACTTTGCTTTGCTCTATTATTTGAAATCTCAAAAATAATTTGAAGTGTGTGACTGAGTGTTCCAGTAAGGGTTTTATACATTTGCAAGGCACAGTAAGAGACTTGGTATTTTTTTCCTACATTTCAAAGACAGTTTCCTTTTCATGTATGATACCGTGCTGTCCTCAAAGCTCCATCTCCTCTCAACACCACTGCTTCCTTTGTTCGGTTTTTCCTCTTCGTGAAATTGGATACAGTTCCTTCTCGTTTGTCCTGCGTCTTTTTGCCAAAGATCTCTGAAACAGAGTGGAGAGGGTCCCATGGGAGCAGAGCCCAGTCACAAGCAGCTGTGCTCTGCCCTCTGCACCACTGGGAAAGGCTGTGAAATGATAATAACTCCTTTGTTATCTGCTGTTACAGGATGGACACTGAAGCTTTGCTATAAACATCTTTTCAGATTTTTTTTTTCCAACATTTATATTGAAAAATGGTCAAACCTGGAAAAAAGAAGTATGAAAAGATTCCAAATTATATATGCAACAAGAGAATTTCTCCATTGTGAGATCAATAAAGTTCTATTTGATCTAATCTATTGATGCTTGTATTGTTCTTGCAATGTATTACAATACACAATATTTCAGCTTAAACACTGAATTTTTATTCCATTATTTCAACTTTTTAACTAAGTTCTCTTCCTGTTGTTTTTTTTTTTTTTTTTCATGGTTAATTAATCTCACCTGCATTCTGCTCGGCACGGTCCTGGAGGGATCTGCTGCAGCCAACAACTTTATGGTTTCCCTTCAAAGCTGATCCACTTAGGTTACAGTCTCCACAGGTTACTGTCTCTTTCCTAGACTAGAAATAACTTTCACTGAACTATTACTGTGACTAACTGTATGTAATATCATCTGCAAGACTTAAATATAAGCTCAGAGCCAATCTGTTTAGCTGTGTTCCTTTTCTAGATTGAGGCACTTCAGGAGCTAAACGTTTTAATAACGTTTTACTTTTCTCTCCCATAGAATCCTAAATCAGGTCTTGTGTGTGTGTGTGCGTATTATCTATCCATCCATCTATCCATCCATCCATTTTCTGACACGCTTTATCTCAAGTGGGATCGCGACGGGTGCTGGTGCCTCTCTCCAGCTGTCTACTGGCGAGAGGCAGGGTTCACCCTGGACAGGTCGCCAGTCCATCGCAGGGCAACACAGAAACAAACAGGACAAAGAACCATTCACACACAGTCATGTTTTTGGACTGTGGGAGAAAGCCAGAGTACCCAGAAAGAACCCACGCATGCTCAGGGAGAACATGCAAACTCCATGCAGAAAGATCCCGGGCTGCGAATCGAACCTTCTTGCTTCAAGGCACTGCAGCACTGAGCAGCCGTGTATTATCTGGCTCTCTGTTACTTGTGGCAGAAGGACATTTACATTGAGCCCAGTTCTACTGGACAATTCTTCCTATCATATGGTAGTTTTATTTTCCCCTATCACTGCATGCACACTCGATAAAATTGATGCAAAAATTAAGAACAAAAGAAAGAATGAATTCTGCATGTCAATAACTTGATGCAATCTGCTCAATATCTGTAGATAGAGAACAGCTTAACCTTTTTGATTAATAACATTAAATTGCTATTAATCAATTTAATGTTATTATTATATTAATGTTTGAGGTTTTATGCAGTATAAAACACTATGTATGTTTTTATTTTATTGTATTGTTGTTGTTTTTTTTGGAACACCACAAAAGAAAATGTTATTGTAGTTGTGAAGTTTAAGGCAAATTTCACAAAAAAATAATGATTTACGGAACATTTCCCCCCAAATAAAGGTTTCATTTACATTTTATATCATGCAAAAAATGTGCTAACAACTACTAACATGACTGAAAATATGCTCAATAGTACGGAAGAGGAATAGGGCCACTGAAAAAAATTTAAAAAGGTGAATGATTTTTCAATTTTATTTCTGAATAATATAAGAAAAAAGTCAGAATTCTGACTCTTTTTCTCAGAATTCTGAGTTAAATCTCAGAATTCTGACTTTTTCTCAGAATTCTGAGTTAAATCTTTTTCTCAGAATTCTGACAGCTAACAAACATGTTAGCATCAAGCCACAGCCATGTCTATTTTAGAGACTAAACTAGCTCTCTTGTTTTAATGACCTTCTGCTCTTCCATTAATTAAATAGCATCACCTGGGACCCCTCAGGCATGTAAAAAGTTGTTTGAGAGTTGCCCTCTCAAACAACGCACATCTTTTTCAGTGAAGCTGAGTGCTCCCACATCTTTCTTCATGGTGCCCACCTACATTAAGATCCAGCATTCTGAGATTTAAGTCAAAGTTCTGAGATTAAAGTCAGAATTCTGAGAAAGAAAGTCAGAATTCTGAGATTTAAGTCAGAATTCTGAGATTAAATTCCGAATTCGGAGGGGAAAAAAAGTCAGAATTCTGAATTTTTTCTCATATTAAACTGAAATAGTATTTTAAAATCAGTTAACCTTTTTTTTTTTTTTGTTGCCCTAATCCTCTCCCGTACAATTATAATTTTATTATTTCCACTAAAAACAAAAAAACCCAAACGCGCCACCTAAACACAACGTGTTGCTGTTGGCTTGTGGGAGTTGTAGTCCAGTTCATGGCGAGTCGCGTTCGTCATGTCCAACAAAGAACTACAATATCCAGATCCGTTAACACGGAAACCCTTTACAAAGCACTAGCACGTAGCAACACACGACGGTAGAAGGATGTCTCATGCTGGCAAAAAGAGAAAACTAGATAAAACCCGCCAGGACAGGCTTTATTTCGATAGCTATTCTGATGTGACGATACATGAAGACATGATAGCAGACCACGTCCGGACCAACACCTACCGGACGGCCATATTTAGCAACAGCGAGTCGATTAAGGGGAAAGTTGTGCTGGATGTCGGGGCAGGAACCGGCGTGTTGAGCATCTTCTGCGCTCAGGCTGGTGCTAAGAAAGTGTACGCAGTGGAGGCCTGCTCTATAGCGGAGCAGGCGGTAGAAATAGTGAAGCAGAACAACGTGGAGGAGATCGTGGAGATCATAAGAGGAACAGTGGAGACGGTGGAGCTACCGGAGAAGGTGGACGTGATAGTGAGCGAGTGGATGGGTTATGCACTACTGCACGAGTCTATGCTCAACTCTGTACTGTTCGCCCGCGATAAGTGGCTGAAGCCCGGGGGAGTCATCCTGCCGAGCAGAGCCGAGCTTTTCATCACCCCAATAAGTGACCCGGTGGTGGAGGACCGCCTGTACTTCTGGTACACCGTCAAAGACCGCTACGGCGTCGACATGTCCTCCATGTCCGACTTCGCTCAAAAGTGCATTAAGAACTCAGACATCACGGTGAACACCGTGGCCATGGAGGATGTGCTTTCCCACCCGGCCCGGTTCGCCGAGCTCGACCTGTACTTGGTGACGGTGGAGGAGCTGCGGGCCGTTAAGGGCCGCTTCACGTGCGAGTCGTTCGGCTCAGCTGCTGTGAACGCTTTCTGTGTTTACTTCACGGTCACATTTCCGTGCCCGGAAAAAGCAGAGTCGCTCGTTCTGTCGACTTGCCCTTTCAACCCGGAGACCCACTGGAAGCAGGCGGTGCTGTATCTGGACTCCCCCGTGGAGGTGGTGCAGGACACACCGATAACTGGAGAAGTTAGCATGTTTCCCTCTGAGGACGGTTCCCGACACATATGCATCCATGTAGACTATTCAATTGGAGAGGAAAAAAGACAATCCAAGACTTTTTCTATCCCTGACTGGACATCTGACCCTCAGTCATGATATAAATGTAATACTAACTAGTACCATTTCACTTATTTCCTCAAACTGTTCCCAAGCCAGGAATAGTTAGTTGATGCCAACCATTTTGAGTTCAATTTTACATAATATGCTAAATTCTGGTTTTCACTCATTTTTTACATAAGTTCTGAAATGTGTTTTTAAACTAATGTGCTAGAAATAAATTTTGATCTTAATGTTTGTTAGATATCCATGCTTATTCTTAACAAAGAGCTAACAGTGATAATGAGAACATACTTGTCACATCTTTCAGTATGCATTTTGTGAATTGTACTAATAAAAATGTTTTTGAATATTCAAGTCATATACCTTTTTCTGTTTTTCTTTTTGATACATCTACTTTTCAATATTTATTCTGTATATACACAAGTGAAAAGCAACAAAATGTAGTTTACATCTATCCAGAAGTGCTATACAAGATATAAATATTTATTTACATAGTTTTCAGAAACTGTATGTATGGACTATAAATGGTATGTTTAAACAGAGTAATTGTAAGAGGCTATAAAATAAATATGGAAGTTCCATACAAATAATCCAAGAATGTTAGGATATGGATTATATATATTAGTGGGGTTATAATACAGCATAAAAAATGACATAATAGCAGATAGAAGATGCACATATATACAGCTATAGTTGAGAAGTACGTGCAAGTGTTTTGGATCCATAGGTGGTTGTGTAATCATGGACATAGTAAATTATAAACAGGCATGTATTTTTATTTTGCAGACTCATAGTCCACATACAAATAAAGAAGAAAAATTATAAGAATATGACATTACAATATGAAGATTCATGGAGCTCCACAGACGATACATGAACTTGTATATCAGATTTCTCATAAGTTTCTGAAATTTCCTGACTCATGCATTACAAAACTTTTCACTTGCACCACTGAACCTGTGTTTTTTTAAGCAGAAATCTTACTCTTTTAAGCTACCCGAAGCCTCTGCATGCGAGATTTTTTAAATTACACCACTAGGAGCCGTTGACAGAGATGTATAGTAAGCATTAAATACAATTGTTATGCGGTCTTGATCACCTCTTTGTTTTTATTTATTAAACCACTTGAAGTGGCCAAAAATACAGAGAACAGTCTCCAACTTTGCTCTTAAACCAAATTATCTGTTGTACAAATAAACAGATTGAGATGATTAAGCAGATTTTTATTTCCCAAGCACTTTAGATATCACACCAGCTTAGGCTGCCTGCCTTTAATTATTAAGACTTCCAACCTTACCAGTTTTGTCCTTAATTACGGGCACCAGAGTAATACAATAAGGTGTTAGGCACATGGTTCATAACCCCAGAGAAACACATGGCAAGCAGCACACCAACTTTTTAACTTGCACACTTCAGATGTTGTGCTGAGATGTTACCAGAACCTGTTGCCTTGTTTTAACGGGAATAAACTATAGCTTACTAGACTTCTAAGGGGGTATTATCACAGAATCCCTCTTAGCAGTGCTCTCCCTTTCATAGGGTTCACTTTTAGCACAGTCGAATAAAGCAAAATAATTTTTCCAAGGCGTTATATAATACAGAAGAGACCCAACTCTGTTTCTACCTGCTGCCCCCACATATGCCTGCATGAAAAACTGAGACATGCTTTTTCCAACCTGGCCTGATTTTCCTTTTAACCTTTACAATACCAGTGCCATTATAATGAGACATGATCTAATAAGGAATACTCATACAAAATTTCCATTGATTTTACAACAGTGTGGGCATCAGCCGTGCTAATGCAATGGTCAAGTCATAATGTGCAAAGATTTGCTAATGTAAGCAAAGCTATCTGAAGTTAGCAGAAGCTGACTAGACAATATGAGACTTATCACAAAACTGACACATGGCAAACAAATAAAGGTTATTAAATAAATCTGCATTCATGTCACCTACTACATACACAGAGGTAAAATAATTCTCATCAATAAAGGAATTTAGTAACAGTGTGTAGATTGCCTTTGGAGCACAAAATAAATAACAAAGCAAAAATTTGAAATGGTAAAATCCCCATTAACCATCAGAGGTGGTATATCTAATTTGGTACAGTAGTACTAAACAACATACTATAAAATCTTCAGACAATAGCACAAACAGTGAGAAAAATTGGAATTTTAACACCTGCTATACTGCCTGCACTTAGAAATCATGGAGGGGTCTGAAATTTTCATGGTGCATGTCCACTGTGAGAGACGTTAATCTAAAAATAAATCCAGAAATCCCAATGTATGATTATTTTAATTATTTCTTTGTATGGTACAGCTGCATATCATACAAAATTCCAAACAATTCTAAATTAAAACCGTGAAACCTCTGGAAAAAGGTTTCAGCTTAGGTAGTAAGTGGTCATATCTGTGATGTTGAATCAAACGCGTTCTGCTATTTCTGTAGGTGCATTATTGTTTAGTTCTTATGGAATATTGTGTTACTCACAGGTCAAAGGAAGGACAACATGTTGCAACAGTAGTAGACGCCATGCATGCAGATCCAAAGCCAGATGTCACATTTTAAGGGCTTATATTACGTCTAAAAACATAAACACAGGGTTGTGGTTAAGGACATAAACAGATGTTTGATCAGCCTTTTATGATCTTTTCCGGATCCAATGAGGTATGTTTCTCTCTCAGATAGTGTACACAAAGGAGGAAACATGTTTAAGCATTAACAGAATTTATTCCATTCAAGGTTAACAAAATAATTGATACAAGCATGAATTGCAGAGAAAGAGACTCACCTTCTATTAGGCCCTTTTCACATCTTGATCACCCAGCTGGGGAACCAGCTGAATGGCAGCCTCTGCATACTTTTTCAGTTTTCTCTAAAAGCCAGCCAGGAAGTGTCTGCCCCAAAGCCCCCAGTCAGTCAGAGGTGGATAATCCATGTCCAGAAAGTAAAAACCTTACCTCATTATCCTTCATCCTGTTCACATAACCCGCCGATTAGCTACTCAGGTGATTTGTTTGCATTGCTGAGCTAGAAATATGGATCGTTGGATCTGATCTCTGTACAGGCCTTTTACTTTCTGGAACTGAATTATCCACATCTGGGCATTCAGTGCTTCTATATATATAGATATAGAAATGAACAGATGTAAAAGTATCTAAAACAGAAAAAAAAAAAAGAAAAAAAAAAAAGAAATGTATCTTCAACAAAGATGTGCAAAAAGCTCCCCCCCATTGAATTCAACTGCTCAAAGCTCTCCTATAGTTGAAATGCTGTTTCCTTCTTTAATGGTCATCAATTCCATTATGAAGATATTTAACCAGACTTAAACCCCACAGACATCAAGGACTCATTAACAACTGGGATCTGGGCAGAAAAAGTACGCAAAAACTAGCAGTAACAGTATTAAAATATAGTGACCAAGGAAAAAAAAAAAACTCAAAACAATTATTTAGTTTTAGTTTAAAAGGTTTATTTTGCTTGCTATTAAGAATGTTTTAAAAGTTATGAGCAAATAAATCAGTGTAGATATCTTCAGATCAAACTGAGGACATTCCAAGCTGTAGTAAAACTGAAAGTTTGGTTACCCCTCTCAGTGTGAATACATGATGGAGCAAGGAAATATTGTAGGAGCAAAGAGAGTACTAACTATGTACATGTTTAGGAGGGTACTAATTTTACGGAGCCTGGAAAAACAGAGTTTTAAAAATCAAAGTCATCCAATTAATGTATCTACATAGGCAGAGAAAGCAGCTTTGGTATACAACTTAAAGTGATGCATCGAATATCTGCATCATTAGACAAAACACAAAGCACATTGGGAAAGTGTATTAAATGACTAAAGACACCTGATCAAATCATTTATATGCAGAACATCCAATAATCAATCATAAGACATTTTTATTTTTTTGCTGAGAGAGAAACATGATTGTGGTAATTATTACTGCAGGTCAATTTTGTTGTTAAGAAGTAATTCACAGTTAGATATGCGATATTAGTTGTTTTAAACAACTAACTTTGCCCTGACATCTAAGTCTAAATTTGATAGAATTCCCAATTCTATGCGATGTTTGATTAAAATAGAAAAAATTTAAAATTTTCTGATTTATTCTCATTTTTTATATGGTCAGGCAACAGTAAATGGCCTGTACTGTATAGAGCTTTTTCAAGTCCAAGGACCCCCAAAGCCCTTTAAACTGCATTTAGCCAGTTATCCATTCTTGCACACATTCACACAATAATGATGGCATCAGCGTGTTCCATTTTATATTGTAGCCACAGCTGTCCTGGGGCACACTGACAGAAGAAAGGCTGCATTGCCCAGTCGCCACCTCTGACCACCAACAGTAGCTGAGTGTTCTTAAGTAGAGCTGTCAAAAGTATTAATGTTTATTACTTAATTAGAAGTAGAGATCCAACTGTTTAAAAACACTTTTGTACAAGTTAAAGTATCAATATAGGCTTTTTACTCAAGTAAAAGTGTAAAATTAAAATTTTTAAAACTACTTAAAATATAAAAAATAAAATGAATGCAGGAAAATGTTAAGGACAGATGCTTAAAGGCACATTTTTCTACAATTCTGGATGAAAATTTCCTTACATTTAATTTTCTTAGTCTTATAACTAAGGGTAACAGTTTTTAATTTAACTTTGCATAATCTTGAAAAACTATTTATTCTGGTATAAGGCAAACAACAATTTGATGTAGTACCAAGTCCAAAAATAAATGAATTGTCTGGATTTTAAATGTAAGTAATCAAAGTAAAAAGTTATCCCTCAGGAGCTGACCATGGTGCTGATTTGGGAAATCAGCACCATGGTCAGCTGCTATGGTGCAAGAGGTACAGTTGGAAATAAAAGGTGAGCAGAAGAACAGTTAGCTTTTCCTAGTAATTTTCTTCCATAATACAAGAGAGTTAATTACATATGCTGCAAGTACACACTCCCAGCATGTAAAACAGTATCTATAAAACCACTTGGTGTTTGTTTTTGAGCATCTCTATAGCAACAATTCTAAATCTAGGTCGATATATAACAACTCTTAAAGTCGTAGGGAAGTCATATTTGAATGTCAAACCATTCTGGCTTAAACATGTATATAAATGTACTCTTTATCAGACTATATTGTCTAAATTGAAATTTAGGAAATTTCTATTTAAAAAAAAAAAATCCTGTCTTAAAATCTGTGTTGATGAAAAAGCAGGGGGTCTACAGCAAATTTGTTATAAACACCATTAACCGGCTCTAAGGAAATTCAATACACGTTTATGGATGTTGCTACTGACCTCCTCAGCTGTCACTAGAAGTAACCAGTATTGTTCCCCTTTCAATAAGTT